TTTACTAAAATTATAGTGACTAAATCATGACATGCTTGTTTGAATATAATGACAGACACTTAGTCAAATCAAATGTAAATAAATGAAGAATGACAAAAAAAATGTTTCGAGCTATTTTTCCAATTGAATTCAATGTTAAGTACTTTGAAAGGATATAAGGTCAACAAGGATGTCGAATACAAATACTATTCTGAAATGATCTATGTTTATTTTTTCAAATGAGTAATTGAAAATTTATAAGAATATTGACATAGTTACGAATCGCACAGCATCTGTCAAGATTCGAGCGAGCGAATCGTTCACAAAAAAAGGATGTCCATCCAGTAAATTGTTAGAACACAGCGATGTATATATAGTAGTATGTTGAATTTTGATTTAAATCATTGATTAGAGAAAAATTTAACGATAAAATTTTGAAAAATATTTGTTTTTTTTAGAATGTTAAGTAGGTATTAAAAAAGCTGAATAAGTTGTTTTCTATTGACATAGTTCTTCATACGACTACCGAACATCAAAATTTTACTTTTTAAAAACTAAGCAAATACAAATTTAATATCCTTCAAAGGAACAACAAGTCTCAATATTTTAATGAAGGTGACTGGCTTATATACTTCTAATACAAATCACAGAGTGAGGCATTCTTTATACATCTTACGTACAAGTCATTTTTCAAACACAATAAACATACTTTTTCATTTTGGCATCGGTAAATACAAATAAGAAGTTAAATCTACTGTGAGTAATAAATTTCAATAATATTCTAAAAATATACTACCTCAAAAGTCTGATGATCATGTAAAACATTGGATGTGAATAGTTTTCACATTGTTATGCTAATGTATCAAAACTGTAAAAACTCATGTGACTCGAATCAGAAAAAGAATCGCAGATTGACCGTTCGGTATAATGTGCTCTATATCACCAGTAGTTCCTTATTTTACTGGTAGGATTAAGATTCGAACCTACTAATCTGTAACCTCATGATTCCAAAAAGAAAATGTACATTATTGTAGGCAGCAAAATAGTTAAATGAATTTTGTTCATAAAAAACTGATATTTTTTTAGATTGATATATCTTGAGTAAAATCTAAATACTTCGAAGAGAAAGTGGAGGAATTCACATTTTTCTTCCAAATGATTAGATTTTCCTTCTTTGTCTTTTAATGCTGTTATACTTTGCATCAAGTTTATTATTGAGTAAAGATATACCATAAAAGTTTTATTTCATTTTTGGTGTACAGATCATATTAATAAAACTCTCATGTCATATCTTTACTCAATAATAAACTTGATGCAAAGTATGACAGCATAAAAAGACTTATGTCTGAGGGTATATGTGTATAAAATAACAGTCTTTTTATGAACAAAATTCACTTAACTAATTTGCTGCCTACGACAATGTACATTTTCTTTTTAGAATCATAAGGTTACAGACCATAGACAAGATTAGTAATCATTGATTCTTTGCTTCATCATTTTGTTGATGGAAAGCTAGAATAAATTACTACGATGGTTATCTATGAAATATAATGCTGAGTGTTATTATGTAATACAATAACAAAGATATAAAAGGAGATATTTATATATCTATAAGAATAAATGCAATTTGTACTGACAACGGTATGATCCATTAAAATAATCTTTATAATCATTGTATACAAAAAAAAGGACTCCAACTCAATCGAATTAACTACAAGGTTAAATCTCTGCTCCAAGCAAAAGAAATTGATGACACATCATTGAAATGAAAATTAGTTTAGTAAAATATTAAATATTATTATCATGTAAAAATCTCGTTGTTACATCGAAAATGACTTCATAAACTCTTACATCATCAAAAACAATGATTCGCGATAATAAACAACTTCCAACCATGTACCAGTATCACTGCAATAGTGAAAAAAATGCTATACTTATTCAAGAACGTTGTAGCCGACGTAAAACTAAGAAAGTGCACCAAAAATGCATGACATTCTTGGAAACTTATTTATTTGAAAAAAGTCATTGAAACGAATCTTAATGAAAATACAATAAACTAAATAGCCAACTGCGCAGACCTCTATCGATTCCACTTGTGTGATAAAACAATATCATTTTTTCTATATGCACCAAAAGTTTTCATCTTCAGATACATTTTTGTTATAACACTATCGACAACATTTTTCTTTTCTTTACTTCTGTTGAAACTTATAAGAAAGCTAGCCATCCGAGTGTCACGGGCATGGTTGTATACGGTTCTATTCAGAGAAATACGATAATTTACATGACTCAGTAGTACGATGATCAAAGTTGATCAATACGGAGTAGGTGTGGGTGTGACTGTGATTGAGCGTGGTGTGGATATAGATATGGGTGCGTGAGACATTGTATTCATCCCCACCAACACCCTACTCATTCTGGATTTATTGATTGACGTCACGATTTACTCACTAATGAAACAATTATTGGTTCATGTCGTTCAATTGATGATGTTTTGATAATAACAATATTATTCTATTATTGTAATTATTTCTTGATGTTCTTGGTTGATGGTGAAAAATCTTCACTAATAGACTCATATATGTTTCTTATGTCGAAAACGAATGAGATTATATATGAAAGTTTAAAATGTATTTGGTTTGATTCTTTGAAATTAACATTTTGAATCTGCGGAACAAACAATCACATGCATGAATACAAATTGAGATTTCACTCATTTTGGATCTTCGTCTATTTCGTGCAAGATTTGAACGTGAGATTATTCACCAAGCAAATCAAATGATTAAAGCATGCAACGAAAATATTGATGTTAATCTTCTTGATGATAAATTGTTATTTTCGCAATGGAAAGACTGCGAAATACAAGTATCTATTTAAGGAATATTGAAAGTATAGTTAATAATTTAGAATTATTTGAATATTATTATCACGATCAACTTGCAATTCTATTAGATGAAGTACGGATGTTAACTATCCAAGATAAACTTAAGCATTTTCTTATGTATCAGGACGAACTAATTGAATTATTATATTTATTCGAGATCGATATGGAACTTATTGGCGAAGAAAAATGGAATTTCGATGTGCAATTTTGCATTTCAGACAATACACAACTGACAATGACCGATAATTCAAGTAATCTCTATATTCTTGTTCAAATAGAACAACAGTTTTATCAAGTTCCATCACAACAATTATTAAATAATAAATCTTATGAATGTGTTGGTGATCCATTTATTGAAACAAGTTTAATGAACTTAATTGATTTACTTCTTTCTTCATCGACTATTGATCGTATCGATAATGTAGCACAGTTATCAACTGCATACAGTCTTACTGTACAAGATGTACTCGCTTTATATCATTATTTAGTTACTAATCTAGAAAAAATGGGTTCTATCGATAGTTTTGTTCGTTGTATTATGAGTTTACTTCTTAACGATCGAATTTTAACTTGTCTTACTAATGAAGATATGATTGAAAGATACTTAAACGATTATTATGATTATTTTCGAGAAAATATCTATAGTTATAAAACTGATCATGAACTTTCAATGATTGTTTCAATTGCTTGGCTCACACTCTATATCGAAATATATGAATTTTCTTTGAGTACAGATAATCATATCAATAAACTACTCACTAGAAATTAATCTAAATTTAGTTTGACTTTAAAAATATATATTATTAAATAATTATGTCGAATGTATCATATTAATCTTGGAGAATTATATGATATGTTTATCAATCGGAATTGTTATTGGATCAAGGAAATTTTTTCGCAATATGGTCCTCAGAAAGGACGAAAATTTAAGCAAAATATTATTGTTCCAACATCTCTATTTGAAGCGTCTCTAAAATAGATAGATAGCAAAAATACACTTGACAATGATAGAGAAGTGAATAAACTGAAAAAAATAATTGGCAAATATTCAGATAACCTACATTCATCGTATTGTTTTATTATTGTTTTCGTGCATCACTATGTGAATTTCTATAAAATGAACATACCAAATAATAACTTAGGGCATTTTTTCGACGAACTACATATGGAATTGAATGTGTCTTTTGAGTCTATTGGTTTTAAACTGTGGTATTGTTTATGTACAAATTTTCGTGACAATCCTTACTTTCAACTAAATCGAACAATGACTGCAGATCAATTGCGTCGACGCCTTGTTGCACTCAATATTGCCACTGTGTTTCTGTCTTCTAAAGCTTTTATTGATATTGGAACGACCTATGATAAGTCACGATTAGGTTGTCCTAGGATGAAACCTGCATAAGAAACTAATATGAATGAAAAACCCGATCATCTCAATTTGTTTTATTCATATGATGATTCATGCCGACTTACTTGTCTTATGTGAACTCGATCTGTTAGATGATTCAAATTTACCTGATTGTAACTATTGTCGAAAACGTTTTGAAAACGATTACGAATTTCTATGTTAATTATCAACTGAACCTAATCAACGTCATGTGTGGTTATATAAATTAATTAATCATTTAATCGATGGTAATTTTCTACAAGTGGGTTTTTTGAATAGTTATGAAAAAGTCATTGAGTTTGAACAATGCATTAACAATAAATTGATCATTCCTCATATTGATTCGATATCTGAAGAAATTCGAAAATATAAGTTAAAATATAAACAATTTCTACAAACAAAATGATCATCAACCGACACTGAATGATTTAATTGATGAACTCTTTGAAGATGAAAATCAATATTCACTATTAGACTTTTTCAACATAATTAATATTCATATAGATAATCCAATAGATGCCTTCAGTAGTAAACTTCAAATAATACCAAATGCTAAAAAACATATCGAATAACGATATTTTTACTTCAATGCGATATGATGATTATGCAAATATTCAATATCTCTATTCGATTGTTGTGTTTGCAAATTATCCAATTCAAAAATTGAATTATCGAATAATACGTAAAAATGCAGCGAAAAGAACAATTAGTGAAGTTTTATTCAATGGTTCAGATAAAGAGGAAACATTAAAATTATATGAAAATTTTATTCAGGCATGGTATAAACTTAACTTTAAAGAAGTTCGCTTAGGTTCTCAAACTATTACATTTGAACATAAGTATTCATTGGAAGATTTTGCAAAAAGAACAGAAGTTTCTAAATTATTATTAAATTCATCAGGAGATAACAATAGTCTTTTGTTAATTGCTTGTTTAAAAACAATTACAGAATTAAAAAATGATATTGTTAGATATTTTCATGAAATTATGAATTTTAATTAAATTAATAAGAAACTTCAACCACATGTTATATCATTATAAGCTGCTCAACAGAAACATCTTTGTTTTGAAAATCATTTTATTAGTAGAAAATTGATTGATGATGGATCTATGATAAACTATGATTATGAAAAGATTAAAGCTATTATTTATGATTATGAAGAAATTGAATTTATGCTTCCTGACAATATTTGTTGTTTACCATTAATTGGTACGGAAAGATTACATTTTCTAAATTATCAATTTGAAGTCTACGATAAAAATACATCGTTGATAACTGATGTTCGAAGACGTATCGAACAAAAGCTGTTGACTAGTAAAGAGCGGACTGAATTGCAAAATTTAATTAAAAACATTTCAAATGATGATATTCTTCACTACCTTGGTTGACTTGATTATATCTTTACATATTTGCTTCATTTTGTTTGTTGAACAATATATTCATTCGAAAATGTGTCTCAGTGATAATTTACTTCGAGATCCTATGCTTTCGACCACTGAACTTAAATATATCATTGACTTGTACGAATTCATTGAAGATATTGTATTCAAAAAAATTCTACGAAACAATATCAAACAAGATTTACCTGAAACATTATTATTTTCAGACAATAAAAAAAAATCATCTGATCGATCAATTTATTGAGATAACATCAGGAAAAATAACGGTAACTCATCGTCTGAAAAATTTAGATTGCTGGATTAATATGCTCAGAAGACTTATTGTACGTATTTCAATAAATATTAATTTGAGTTTTAATGCACCCTTACAGCAACGTGTGATCCGTTGTGACGTATGGACTGTTGATGTGACCACCGATGATATTGAATCCTTTAAAATTAGTGATGATATTTTATTACGACATACATTTATCATTTTGAAAGGACTAGAAACAAGACAAAATGATCCACAAGTCGAGCGACAAAAAAATGATGCTAGTCGACAGTAGAGTTCGGCGGTTCCAACAATTACCCACAACCGCGGTTCCGAGTAGTAAAAATGAGAAAAAAGCGGGTTCGGTTCTGTTCTCGGTTTCATTTTTTTTGAAACCGCCGAACTCTAGTCGAAAGACTTATGTTGTGCGATCAATGATAACGACACCATTATGGCTTCCTAATAAAGGTGTGGGTATTTATCTTTCCTTAACAAACACCGACACCCACACACACAATTTTTATCAAACATGTCGATATTATATCCATTGTATTTAAAGCAAAAGAAAAAATATTGTAGAAAAAGTAAAGTATACGTACATTGGTATACCGAAATGTCATGTGATCAAAAGTATTTTTGATTAGACTTTCTTTCGATATGACATTCACATTTAATATTTTAATATGCACAATAAAAGTCGCCTTTGACACGTTAACTTTATAGAAATTTTACTGAAAACTCAATGATACAACGAAAAATCTTTATTGGTTAATAAATACTTACAATGATGAATGTGTTAACATTGAATGTCGATTACCTGCCACTTTGCACTCTAAATAGTATTTATTCAATTACATCAAATATAATTTGTTTTACAAGTCTTAGTTGAAATGGATCTTCCCTTTCTTCTTTTATACTATAGAATATAATTCCTAACAATTATAATTATAGATCAATGAACTATCAAGAATCTGATAAAATCATTGATTCGAATCATTAGAAATATTTTAAAGCGAAAAGAAGAATAAATGTAGTACTATCTTAGATTTTATTATATATGACATTGATTTGGACCAAAGTAAACTAGATGACTCTTCTACACAATAACCAACAAACAAATATGAAACATATCGATATCATGTAGTTCATGATAAAGATTTATACACACACACATATATATATATATATATACTCAAAACCAATGATAATTACTGAAAATCACTGCCTAATATATCATCTTCTTGACATTGATTAATATTATCAATATTACATAAAGTGATCGCTCTATCACTACAATAGATAGCAAAGTTTCAATATCATTGCAAGAAGAGTTGAGAAGAGCAAGATTACGAGACAATAGTAAATCATTAGACTAGTTGATTGTGAAAGTGTGCGAGTTTACGGGAAAATGATATTATGTTATAAACATAAAAGAAAAGATTCAGTGTACATATACTCATTCAGTTCAATTCATTTCTACTATCAACAATTCATCAGATGATATGCAAAAGTGATCAATATATGCTAAATTCTTTTAGACTTCTCTTTGTGAAAGTAGAAATGATTGACATATATCTTCAAAATAACTCATTACTTCTGAGGTACATGATCTTTAATGGTGGCTGCTTTTGTTAAAAGAATGCATTTCTTCTTGATTCTGTAAGTAGAGTATTGGGGTGGGGTGTAGGTGTAGATGGAGACAAGTAACATCCGTACCCACACCTCACCTACACCCACACTCCAAGCTATCAATCAACTCTATCGACCTGAAGATATCTTCATTAATGGTGATCAAACAATGGTCATCGATGATACATGGAACCATCGTATCATTCAATGAAAGATAGGTGATCAGTATGGACGAGTAGTAGCTGCTGGTCATAAAGAAGGAAAACGATTGAGTCGATTGGACGAATCATGCGATGTGTTGATTGACAAAGAGAGAGACGGATAGTCTCATTATCTGAGATCGAGAGAATGAATGAGTCGTAAGATGGTCTCGCCGTAGTGGCATAACAGAAAGAGAACTCGTCATCGACAATGTCGAATGTTGCCGATTGACTATGAACTATCAGAGATATCTCTACATCTCTAACAACGATGCTGAAGTCAGATGGTATCAAATAGGAGACAAGAATGGAACTGTTGTAGCTGGTGGAAATGGCGATGGTAGTAGTCGCAAAAAACTCGACTATCCGACCTATATCTTTGTTGATCGCCAACAAGCTGTCTACGTGTCAGACAAATTTAATAATTGTGTGATGAAATGGAATAAAGGTGCAGACAAATGGATTGTCGTTGCCGGAGATTAAGGTCAAGGGAATACTCTGATACAATTGCGGTATTCTGCTGGACTATTCGTAGATGCGATAGGTACGGTTTGTGTGACAGATTCGGATAATTATCGAGTGTTGCATTGGATTCAAGGAGCAATAGAGGTCACTATCATCGTGGGTGGTAATAGTCAAGGAGAAAAAGCAAATCAGTTGAAACAGCCCATGGATTTGTCCTTCGACCAATATGGCAATCTCCATGTCGTCGATTCTCATAATCATCGAGTACAACAATTTTCTTTGAGAAAAAAGGCAAACGAAACCCCTCTTTTTGTACCCAACAATAAAATCACAATAAATAAAAAAGAAATGGTTATTCAGTTGAATGAATGAAATTCATTCCCGTTCTATTCGCGTGCGACCAGATACCATCTTGGTGAAGCCACGGCAGTACGAAGGGCATCCACTCATAGGGCAGACTCATATGCTGGTGTGGGTGTAGGGTGCCGGTGTGGAAGTGACTAAAGAGAAGATCCACACAAATCCACACAGTATTTGCTTAGAAAATGCTCGAATCGATAAAAAGACACGTTTAATTGATAAAGATAATGATTATGATGGTAGAAACGAATTAGAAAAAATTGCAATTAAAAAGAATTTTAATTGATGGTATTTGTATGGTGCAGTAGCTTACAGAAGAATATCGAAAGGTTTTAGTTGTTCAAAAGAAAGAATTAAATGATTTAGAAATCTATTAAAAAGATATTTTACACGATGTTTTTAAAAAAGAAAATATATAAATTGTGAAATTCAGATATTAGGTTATCTATCGAATATATTTGATAAATCTTTTACATTTTCTGAAGGTTATTTGATAAAATCAATACCAACATCATCAAAAATAGGTATGAACATTTATGACCTTAACAAAAAGTAATCATTGTAAAGATTTTAAAGATCATATTTATTCGAATTGTAACAAACATTTTGCTTGTGTAATAACACTATCGAATAAACATTATCTAAGTGTATTACTTGATCATCAACAACCTTATAAGAATGAATTTTATTTAAGATATATTTATATTATGAACTCAACTTCAACTGAGAATAATTTAAAAGGATTAAATTGGCTAACAGGTGTTTGTAATTCATATATTTATAAATTGAGTTTTATTCAATGTCTAAAACAAAAATTAATGTCCTATGATAGTGTATTGCATGCTTGTTTTAATGCAACTGTTTGTCAAGGGGCTTGTGATAAACATTATTGAAAATATTTAAGGAATTAAGCAATGGTTTATTGATTGTAATGAGAATATATCTCTTGTTCATTATGTAAAAAATAAAATTTCTCAGCAGGAGAATATTGATTTCATCGGAAAATTTCAAATTTATGTTTCTAAATTCATTTATACATGTTCTGATTCTTTAAAATGTGAAGAAATTCAAAAGCGTGTTGAATATTTATTTGATACTTTTTCTACAATTAAAACATTCGACAAAAATTCGAGAATGTAGTGATAATATAAGTGATAAAAATCTTTTATTGAATTACAAGAGTCTATGAATACTATTGAAAAAACACAAGGCAATAGTATAGTGAATATAATAGTAGATATTATTTTCCTTTTAGCTATCCATTTCAAACTTTTTGAAAGAGTGCTTCTAGGTAGAGTTAAAAGCTGAACCGAAAGAAATCATATTATCCCTAAAGAACAGTCAGGGTTCAGAACAAACTTGTAATGATTTTTAGTAGCTTAGAAGGGATATCTAATCTATTTAGATTGGCCAAGAGTCGTTTAGGCCACACGAGATC